CCCCAAAACCCCAAAACCCCAAAACCCCAAAACCCCACAACGTAATAAACGTCTTGAAATTATTAATATTTAAAATGGAAAGATCATATTCAACAATTGACAAAACCTCATCAACCCAGCATTTAGAGGCTGAAGAGTTTACTCCTCTTAAAAGCCTGCCTATCAAGAGTTTAAAAGTGTTTATTTTCATGAAGCCAAGCAAAAAAGTACTAGATCCTTATATTAAGAGAGTTATCGAGTTCCTTCAAAGATTTTCAATATCTTGATACGTGACTGAGCCTGTGATGCAGCTACTCAAAGAGTCATTTATCGAGCCTGCGGAGGTAGAAGATGATCAGAGCAGTTCATACTCAGATACTACAAAGATTGACCTTGATTGTATTGAGATTTTCTCTGAAGAAAACCAAAGTTCTATCAATAGAATAATTACATTAGGAGGTGATGGAACTGTTGTGCAAGCAATCAAACTTTTTGTCAAAGATAAATGCCCAGAGATGATCACATTCGGTCAAGAGTCTATTGGATATCTGTGCTGATTTGAAGGCTCAGAGTACGAAGAAGTCTTATACCACTCTCTTATCAAAATTGCAGAAGATAGAAATGATTACGACATTTTTATTGATTTTGATGAAGACAAAAAGTATGGCAACCCATATGTTGAAAAGAAGGATAGAGTTGTTCTGAAGGTTCTCTTTGATGGGTTAGATCCAGATGTCAGCTCAAAGATTACTCCTGGGAAAACCAAAAAACCCAAATTTGGAAGCTTATATGCATTAAATCAAATTATTGTAGATAGAGGCTCCTTTAACTATCTCACAAACTTGGAATGATATATTAACAAGAATCCTCTAACAGTGATTCAAGGAGATGGAGTGATACTTTCCTCTTCTACAGGCTCTACTTCTTACAACATGTCTGCTGGAGGAAGTATTGTGTATAACTATGTAAACTGAGTCTTACTAACTCCAATTTGCCCTCATTCACTATCATTTAGACCTCTCATTCTTCCTGATGATTGTATAATAACTTTAAAAGCCTCAGAAGATTCTCGTGCGGAATACTATAGCGTCAGTATTGATGGAGACCACACTTTTACCTTAAAAAGAGGTGAAAAAATTGACATTCAAGGAAGTTTATGCTCCCTTCCCTTTGTCACCTTTAATCCAGTAGATCCAATGGCAGAATGGTGCAAACGTCTGAACAGCTCTCTTCATTGGAACTCAAGGCCTGTTCAGAAGAATTTCACAAATCAAAACGAATCATCGAAATAAAGAATTGATAATTCTTTATATCTCAGAAAACTATGGTCAAAAGGTTGCTCTATCTGGAAAGTTATTATTAAAGAAACTTCTGAGATCTTTCATTTCTCTTATCAATGGTTTTATCTTTAGTTTTCTGGTTTCTCATTATTTAATCATAGCCAAAAATAGTTTAGAAATGCTCAAGATTTCCCTAAACAAGTTTTTCTCAGCACTAAGTATATTTAGAAAACTGTTTGTAATCCATTGGCTAGTTTTCAATGCTAATTTATACAAAAGGGGTTTTGGGGTTTTGGGGTTTTGGGGTTTTGGGG